ATCATGTGTCGAGTTATGACTAATTAAACTTTCCTCTGGTACTGAAATAGGTAATCTACAAGCATGTATTCATGATCATGATGTCAATATGGTCTCAAGTATTTATTGGTGTATACATATAATTAGGAATATGTACTGTGGTACAAGAAGTGAGCAAAATTTTCATCCTCAGACTAGACAGTGAAGTACTGAAAGCAGGTCAGCTGAGAACTGCTATACAAGAGAATTGTGCACATTAATATACACTAAATTTGTAACGTTGTGCAATTATAATAAACATGAGAGGCAAGAGGAAGACAGGGTGGAAAAGAGGAAGAAATAACGATACATTGTGAAATACATATTAACAGAGACACTGGGGAGAAAAGATAGTAAAGAAAATCTGTTCACACCAAAACAAAACAAAAAACAAAAGATATATCAACAATAAGTAAAACAACATATGGCTTGATCTCTCTCCACAGGACAGCTAGTTGCCTGCTGCAAGTGTTGTATAAAATATGAACACAGTAGCTCCAGCAATGATATCCTGGGTCTCTGCAAAAACTGCAACCATGAACCAGATGATGCATCCATAAAACAGACCACATGACTTTCAGAGTGAGGCAAATGTCATGGAGATAAAAGAGTCGGTAAGTGATAAAAGTAGATAATAGACAAATAAGTATATGCCAGACAAACAGGTAGATAAAAAACATAAATATTTACATTTTTGTTTCCTGAACAGAAATGTTTTTCATGTGGATGACATTTCTGTGTGATTATTTTATATTATTTCTGTAGCTAATATTTTGTTTGTTGATAAAGACTTTCATCACAAGTTTGCTTATTATCTGTGTGACAACCTTGTGTGTGCTGCCAAGATTTGTAATTGAATTGTGCTCATTTTGCCCTCTCCTGCAGTGATGTTACAGTGATTACAACATGCAAGCTAACTTCTGAGTGAATCTAACATCAATATTGCATGCTTGGTTTAAATCTTATTTCAACACTTTCAGTCTTGGGATGGGGAGGGGGGTGTAGGGAAAGAGAGGGGAGGAGTGTCCTATAGAAGATATGCAATGAGAGAAATAGCCACAAAGACGTCCCTTAAATGCATTAATTCACCTTAAAAAAAATATAAAGCCAAATTGGCCACTGGGGAAAACCAGAATTTTGTAGTAGGCTCTTACCAAATGTAAATCAGTTTCAGAACACATTACACAGTGGCTGAGATTTAGGGAGGCGAGCATTAAATATGCTGCTCAAGACTGAAAGAGTTAAAAGGCCCAACTGCTCTGGATTAGTAATGCTCATTTAACTCTTAAAGAACAGAGGTAATTTTTTGGCACCAATATTTATGAACAATCATGATGGAATAACCTCTGACAATTCGTTTACCATTGTGTCATGGCTGTAACTTTTTAAATCTTCAGTATTACCAATTATAATATAATATCAGTAAAGTAATAAACTCATAAAAAACTTTTAACTGTAAACTAGAAATACAATTATTCCATCATGAACCATATCCTTCTGTCCTTCAAGAGTTGACCCCTTGACTTCCAATAAACAAACAAAAGACGTGGATTTACTTAATTAAGGATGGAATACATAGTCCATACGCTTTATGTTACACTTTGACAAAACTGTGTTTGTACAGTGCAACTCTACTTCTAGAGTTTCTTCGTACTACTCTTAAATGTACGTTAATAATCTCACATATAGTGATGTAAACATAACATTTGACAAGTCTAATTTTTAAGAATGAAGCAATACAGATATTTATTTGTGTGCACAAAAGGATCCTTTTTATATTATTGGTGCATCCAGCACATGGTGCTATACCCAACATAAAATGACTTTATAAAGTGTCTGTTTAACTTGAAGAAAAATATTTGTTTTCTTGTCAAATACAGTTTGCACTATTTAATACTTTTGTTTAATGCATACTATTCTGCCTACTATTACGCTTTCACAATGATGGTACACAATATATCATGAAACTATACAACTTGTGTTTTTTTTTTTCTATGTAAAGCTATAATACCTTGGACAGCCAAAAAGAGCAACCAAGAGGTTTCGAAAGAGGTGGGAGCCCAAAGACAACTTATAACAGTCATCAGAAGGAGACAGTCATCATTTTTCAGCCGTGTTATAAGAAGAGGGAAAATGGAACATGTTGTGAGCACTGGAAAGACTTGTGGAAAGAGGGATAGATGAAGACAACGAGAGAAGATTCTTGACAGTCTTGTTGCAGGGCATGGAGGTGTGTCAGCACACGAAATGATACATGCTGCCGAAGATCGTGGATTTTGGAGAGGCATTATAGCCCACACCAGTCAGCAAGGCACCTGATGATGATGAATGGATGTTACTTTATGTTAAACAGACACTTTGTAAAGTCATTTTATGTATAGAACCATGTGCTCGATGCACCAATAATATAAAAATTGTCCTATTCTGCATAAAAAAAATCTGTATTACTCTTTATAAAAAAGTTAAATACTAATTAAAAACAAAAACTTCCTGAAGCTTCATCAGCTGTTATAAGAAGTCAAGAGGTTAAAATCAGAGCCTCACAGGCCACACTTTCACATGCAAAACAAAAGTCAACAATGAAAGCCCAAATAAAATAAAATGAAGACAGAACACAAGATGTAATCAAACTGCCGAGCTGAGTAGCCAGCAATAAAATAGTACCCTAAAGTTAACATATCCTGGGTGACAACAATCTCCCAAAAGTGGGCCATGATCGGTGCGTCCGCCCTGAAAGAAGGAAAGTGTCCCCCAGAAAGAGGGCTACGTTAATCATTTATCTGCCATGAAAAAAGACCATATTATTTTGTACACACAAACTGGCGAATCTGATCTGCTTGGTACAGGATTTTTTTTTTAACTGCATATAGATATCTCCAAAAGTGCTTCATTCTCTTTGAGAAAAAAAAAACATCACACAGGGAAAACCCATAACACTGTCAAAGATTCAACTGTGTATACTCCAGAATTAGACATTTTGTTTTTAAATATTACATCTGTTAGAGAAAATTGTAATTAAAGTAATGTATTAATTTACTTAATTAGGTAGTAATTTTGACAGTGAACAAAATACAAGGAAAGAAATTACAACATGAATTAGCAAGGTATCAGCAACTTTTAATAGCTTGAACAAAATATGGAACTCTAAATTGTAGAGTTTTAAAACCAAGATAAATGCATTCAAAAACAAATGTTTGAGGAAAATGATGCAGACAAAACAGAACAAATTCAAAAGGAGTGGAGAAATGATAGAAATGGTTGGGCAACAACTAGTATCAGCAGTTACAAGATCCTGAGAATAAACCAGCACACAATCACTAAACAGGCATTACAGAAGGGAATAAAGGCAAGGATGCCCCAAAGAAACCCTAAGATGAACGCTATGAGAGAGGCTTAAGCTGCTGAAGTGAATTCCATCCATGATATTAAACTAACTGCACATAAGAGAATGGAATAGAGCCTTAGTTTAGTTTAGTCGACGGATCAACATTATGGCATTTGGGTGCAAACCCATAAGTGATCCGTTCTACTTCTAACTCAAGCCTGTCTGAAGAATCTCTGCGCAGTGCATGAGCGAGGATCCTGAAATACTTTTTTGGGTAGATTTTAACTCCAAATTTTGCCAGGCAGTGCCGTTAGGCTACTCTTTTCGAATTCCAACTGCCAAGGTATTTTTTTTATGTGCACAAGTGTACACATGGGCGTCCAGTCTTACTACCCAGAGACCAGGAAAAATTACTAGAAGTCCGAGTGAAAAAAATCAGCCTTCACCTGGGTTTGAACTTGGGATCTCCAGCACTCAAGGTGGATGCCAAACCTCAGAGGAATAGACTGCAAGCCATTTGTGACATACAGTGGCACAAACACACAATGATGAATTTATATATATATTATGTATGGTTTTTCACATTTGAAAACTGTCTGTGCTGCAGCCTATTTAACTAGCCTTTTTCTGTCTTGCTGAGGGGTTGTATTGGGTTCAATTTGCATATGAATCCTCTTAGTTTTGCATCCTGATTAAGGGAATGCTAGACATCTAATCCTGACCCACAGATTAGGCTGAGTACACAATCTTTCTACTTCTTCTTCTGCATTTTATCGCCGAAGGAAACACATACTCTCAACTAACTACACCAAGTTATCAGTTATCGCTTTCAACACACCCCATGTTCTCTCCAGCTTTTCCAAACAATGATCTTCATTTTTTTTTTTTTTGTCTTTATTTCCTGGCACTGTAAGTTAATCTTATTTTGTAAAAATTTTAACTAAACAGGCAACGACCCCCCCCCCCCCCCCCCCCAATTTTCGACCCAGATTAGTCTGAAGGATTAACATTTCAAGGATGAGAATCAAACATGCAAATCCCTAAACCCCATTCAACCGTATTGCCATATAACAGTTCGAGGCACCACAAAATGGTTACAAAAAAACCTGTAGTGCACTACAGGTGGATTTTTGAGGCAACTTTGTGAGGCAAAACAGGTCTGCTTGAGCTATTTTTTACAGTTAGGAAGTTATGTATATGAAAAAAAAAATAATTATAGCAAATGGTGTTTTCACTGCCAGAATGACAACAGACAAAGATTACGCAATGAAAGGAAATGCTGTAGAGTGGCAGGCTTTCACTTACAATAAGACACAGAATTATGAAATTGGCTGACCAGTTCTTTTCTTTGCCATTTTTCCCTTTCTGTTAATGTCAAGACTGCTAGAAAATGGCCATCTTTCACTACCAACACTATCTGATGGGTATAATGATGGACAATGGAATGGATGAATAAACTTCAAGCCATATGTGATGTAAAATGACACAACAGGATGACCTTGATGATGATGATGATGAAGTTTGATAGCTAAACAAACTTTTTTCTAATCAACACAAACCTAGTGAATGATCTATGCAAGTTAAAACCTTATAAATTATCTCTTTTATATTTTTCCTTGCAAACTGATTTACAACTCCAAAAAAAAGTCAAACTTACCACGAGTGCTCAGCGTTAAAGCCAATCTGAAAACATTCAAACAGGCATGGAAATGAGATGAAAACAGCAGAAACAGGTAGAGGTACAGATACACTCAAGTCTACTAGAGTTGAGATACATGACATACATATACAATGTCTGACTCTGGCGCAACAAGTCTTCTGACTCAATAAGTCTTCTAACTCAACAAGTCTAATACTGGTTGGCACCTTTCTGTATTTCTAGACGATAAGTGTTCCAGTGTGCAACAAGGAAGCAGGGGGGAAATCATAGCCTAAGGTGACAGCAGGTGTGACTAGAAAGACCTGCTCACACAAGGAAAAACATTTCAATAAGTGCATGACCTTTCAGGAATACTGTTACCATCCCAGGTGTCTGACATATTTCCCATTAGACCATCAGCTCTTAAACGGTGCCACTGCAAAATACTTTACCAGCAGGGTCCAACTACCAATATATTAACAAATCAAATACATGATAATATGCACCAATGTGTTTAGCTGAGTTAGAACCGAATTAACAACAGGCATCAGCACCCAGTACATTCCCATAAGTGCTCTGTCATTATCTTCAGCAGTCAGTGCAAGTCCTATGGTAGCAGCAGCAGTCTGTAGTACGCCTTGTCTTTTCTTTAGGTGTTGCCACATTCCCTGGTCACTCCATTCTGTCTTGACTGTGATGATCTATAGTTAGTTAGTCGACAGATTATCCTCACTGCACGTTGAACCACTCAGTCCATAAGTGCTCGGATTCCCTCCTCAGTAAATCCTGCAGCGCGTAGCGGCTAACGACACCAATTCTGTGTTGGTTTATTCTTCTTCTTTGACTACCTGCGTAGTGTTCTTGTTTGGCGACACCCAGTTTAACATGTTGTTCTTGCAATCTGACCATGGTTGCAGATTCACAGTTCTCAGTTGGTTCATGCAAACGTCTTAACTCTCTTAGAGCCTTCAGTATATCAGCCTGGTCCATGGCTTGTCCGGCTTTCACAGCAGCCTTACCTGCAAGTCTATCAGCTTGCTCATTTCCTTGTAGCCCCACATGTCCTGGTACAAAAATGAAACTAATCCTATGATCTATTTTTCCTTCCACACTGTTCACTCAGGTGGGGGGACGGAGAGTGACAGACGCTGATGTTTTTTTCAAGTAATCGGTCAGGTCAACCTAACATAAAATGGATACCAGAAAGTGTTTTGGAAAGTAAAAGCAGCTAGCATGAAAACTGACAACTTCACTCAGAAAGTGCTATTGGTTTATTTTTTTTTAAATATGATACTTACACCACATACTCAATGTCTAAAGCCGTCCTTTATAAACAACTATATAAGACAATGTTGTCTGCGCCAGTGAACAGTGCGGAGGCACAAATAAATCATTTTGGTCTGAGGAGAATGGCGCTGCAGGAAGTTAAAGGTGATCTGGCCGACGCTCAACACTCAAGGGAAAGGCGAGATGTATGTATAATCAGTTACTTGTACCATCAAACTAGAACTCTTCACTTGCTGCTAAAGAAAGATGGGGACTGGGTGCTTACGGAAGTGTCCCGAGTGCTGTAATCTTGATTCCTAATTCAACATGCAAATAATAAGAGACACACTAGAGAACACTGCTGAAAGTATATAAGACAGTGTTTTTTGCGCAAATAATGATAAGAAAGACACCAGATAACACTGCGATAAATTTATAAGAAGTGTTGTTTGGGCAAATAATGGTAAGCGAGACACCAGATAAAATGCGATAAATTTATAAGAAGTGTTGTTTGGGCAAATAATGATAAGCGAGACACAGGAGAACACTTTGATAAATATATAAGAAGTGTTGTTAGGGCAAATAATGATAATATGAGAAACTGTGTTTAGGCAGGTTTTGGTCATATATGACTGAGCTACTGTATGAATGTAGGGGGAGGATTTAGCCTTATTTTAGGAAGAGGAAATGCCACCTAAAAATCTTGTGTTATAGCAGGGCAGACAAGGCCCTTAGCTATGGCTGGCAGCTGGTCTAAGAGGGAAGCTCTGACAGGCGGACAGATAAAGCATTGCTCTTCTGATCAGGCAGCTTTTGCAGTCTGCTTTGTTCCAAACATACTGGTAATACCCTTCCTTTGTAGTAAACAAGGCAGGTTGAGGAAGGGATCATGATGTTGGGCAACATATGTTCTCTACAATACTACCCAGGCTTTGTGCTATGGAGAGGACGAAGTACATCCCTGGCTGTAATTGGTCTCAGAAACAAATCAAGAGGCAACAGTTACAGGTTATAAGTCCTTGTCAATTTAAAAGAGTTTGGGAGAACAGAAAGATTACGAATAAAACAAAAACTCTTCTTTGATGATGATAAATAACTCACCATTCCGTTTGAGCAAACAACGAAGGTAAAGGACTTGTCAAACCATCGGTCATGTCCCTTGCCATGCAGCATCGCCTTCCCATAGCGGTCAAGCTTTGATGGGTCATTCTGCAAAAAGTAACATTATTAGTAGAAGTATAATTTCAATTCCTTCTTTACGTCAAATGTTACATACTTAGCATGGACATAAGATGGACGTATGGCAAACTTGTGACAGCCTTTTAAGAATTACCACTGACAACGAATACCATGGACAAAGAAGAGACAAAATACTGACATCTAAACATCAAGGAAGATTGGTTAATAAACAGCATCTTGTCTTGGAAGCTGAAATATTTTGGTCACATCAAGCACCATGATGGACTGGAAAAAATAACAGCAGAAGGCATAGTACTAGGAAGGAGGGGCAGGTGCCAACCAACACGAAAATCAGCACAGGATATAAGTGACTCCTTGAGTATGAAAGTACATAAGGTGGGAGGGCTGGCAAGAGAACAAGTTTTTTTTTTCAGGCAGACAGTGATGAGATTGACATTCTGCAGAAGACCTGCAACATGATGATGATGAACATAATATTTATAATTGTTCTAAATAATTCTTTCATCCAATGTTGTGGAGAGGAGGGCAGACCGTTAAAGCCATGAAATGTTTATTGCTTCTGGTCACAGTGTGTTAATGCAGTTTCTACATATTGACTGGAATTCATTGGTTTGTGACCTAAATTACCAAGTTAAGTGCTTGGTGCAACACTGTGAACTGTGTATTTCATGTGGAATGCCTTTCGCCTATGCCTAAAGCAGTCTGTGTAACAATATTCGCAAAACAGCTTGTAGCCATTTAGTATTCAGGCTGGCTAAGTGCCTTATCCATTAATACTGTGTATGGCCAACTTGTCATGACTGACCTTTTCCATCAATATGAAATTGCAATTCTGGTCGTGACTGCAGGTGTTGGCACTTCTAGTAACTGCTTATGCAATTACTGCATGTGTATGTTTCTGGAATTTGATAGGCCCAATAGTTTGTTCACTGGTTTTTACATGGGAAAGTGAGATTCATTTTTGTGATTTCCACTTGCACAGAACCAAGAAATATGGGGTGATCCATCTGCAGTGAACCTGAAACCTTGACTAAATTATAACCTCCTCTTCTTCGCATTCACCAGATGTAAACTAGGGCAGATTCTGTTTGTCTGTTCTCTTTTGGACCTTGGTCTTGTTTCAGAACTGGAGTTTTGCATGCATATCTTATTTTTTACTAATCTGAATTATTTGTATGTAGACTGCTGGTTCCTTGCCTCTCAGGCAGAAGCACTCTGACTTCGAAGGAAAAACAATCAGTAACATTTTACTATATGCTTGTTAGAGGGACACTGGATCTGTTCTTTTTTCTCCTCCCAAAATGGGGCACAGAACCCACAGGGGGGAATGGCATCCAATGATAAACACAGCAAGCTAATGTTTGTAAATCACGACAGGACTTACAGGATCATACATCTGAGGCTCTGTGTCCAGGCTTACACAGAAGGCAGCCTGAAAATAACAACAGATAATCATTCACCCTTCCACCCCAGTGAAATAGAGATAAACAAAGCCAAGCTCACATAATTTCAATCTTTTGGAAATTCTGAAGACAAATCCTTAGAAGAACAATTATTTTATATGTCACATAAAAAAATGTTGTACAAAATAAATGTATCATCCAAAACACAAATACTATACACAGGTAAAGAGAGTAATCAACAACAATAATAACAAATTAATGAAGCATAAAATCAACTGGCTTAAATCTCCTGGAGCTTCAAACTAATTATAGCCTGACATTTAGTTGACCCTGTGACCCAGTAACCACTGGAGCAGAAAATAATGTAGGAATTTCTCAAAAAATAAAAACATTTAAATACCCCACCACCCCCCCCCCTTTTTTTTCCCTACACACACATATACACACTCCTCTCCGTGGTGTGCACACGAGCACACACACACACACACACACACACACACACACAAATGTTGTCTCTAGTAAATTTAGTCATCCACTGACACACTGAACATTTGTGCAGATATATAAAATATTGTTTCTAAGCAGAAATATTTGAACAAACAAAGCATTATTTTACATATATAAAAGCATCTACACAACCAGATATTTATTGCACACAACCCAGCTACATTAATTCTGGCTCTAGAAGAAGGGACTGATTGATGAATCCAGCATTAGAGATATGTTGAAACAAGTCTGTGTCTGAAATACACTGAAAGACAGAGAATGGAGTAGTTATGCCATTAGACTAAACTAAACTCTTTATATGACCTTCTACAGCAGAACATCTGGGAAGGAAGACCAAACGACAGAAACATTAACACTTAGAGAGAAATCTAACCTTCTCAATAGCATCCAGGGAAGCCTTATTTTTGCCTTTACTGAAGAACTCCTTCCTAGCCTTGGCCCAAGGGATCCTCTCACCTGCCGTAAGTGCTGCCAGGTGCTCCTCACCCTCAGCTGGGACGCTCTCATCATCAACAATCTTCTGCAGCATTCTGAAAAAAAAAGTGTATTCAAAATCAAATATTTAAAACATAAGTCTCTGCATACTCAAAATTAGGCACTCAAAATAAGAACACATGCTATATTAAACATACAAAAGAACAACATTTGCAAATCAGGTGAATCAGCCATGTGTACATGTGGATTAGCATATGAGACAACAGATCAGGTCCTCCAAGACTGTCCAAATACAACATATCAAGACAAAACGTTTAGCCAAGAAAAAACCAATACAAGCCAAACTTTACGGATCGCTGACTGAATTACAACAGACACTAAAGTTCATATTACAGGCAACACTGCAGATATAGATAATCTATTTCAAGGAAAGAAAGAAGAAGAAGAATAAGAAGAACACTGTACATCAATATGTGTGGCCCTAAACAGTTAATCACAAGAACAACAACAAAGAGGAAACAAAACACTCAAACAAAAGAACATCAAAGTATGCAACATCTAAACAAAAGAGCACTGTATGCAAAACTTTGACAAATGAACATCAACAAAACAAAATGCCAGGTGGTCCTGCTGGTCACATTCACCATCGCCATGGGCTGTGCTTCCCATGTCTCCCTATAGCACAATACAACACTTCTATTTCCTGACCTCTTTTACTGCGCTGGGTGTCGATGGAGATAATAAGGTTCTGCTTCTTGCTATTCTGGTTGCCTCGACCACAGACACATTGTGCTGTAGAGTTTCTCAAATACTATGTTCCCATCTTGTTCTTGGTCTGCTTTGTGCTTCTCCTCTTTTGGTGTATGGCATTGCATCAAAAGGCAAAAGTGGCCAAGCTATTTGAATTGCCATCTGTATATGTGAACAAACATTTCCTCTTATGAGGTCATTACCAATTTGATCTCTTCTGGTCACTCCTGCAGCTAATACAACACCATCATCTGGAAAGATGAAAAGATGCCCCAAAAATCTGTAGTCAGATTGCCTGAGGTTTCTAACAGGCTTATGAGTAAGATGACTGGTGTCAAGAATTGTGTGTGTGTGCGTGTGCGTGCACACACGTGTGTGCATGTGTGGGTGTGAGTGCGCATGCGTGAGAGACAGAGTCAGAGAGACACAGAGAGAGAGAAACCCAGTAACAAACTACTATGTCCACAGCGGTACTATGTTGCAATGACAAACAATTCAAAAAGCACTTAGAATAAACAAGCACTTAATACTTAAATGTTGAGTCAATAAATATTTTGCTGCTCACATTTCTATCTCACAAGGCTTGAGTAGTTTGCCCTTGTGTCTAATGTAGACTTTGAAGTAGCGGCCCTTGTGATGAACTGTGATGTGATTGCTGTCTTTTAGATGAAGTAGATGATCTGTTGTTTTAAAGAAAATGAACATATGGGTAACTCTGGTGCACATACATAAAATTATCTGTGAACAAAAGGGAACATACATATAAACTTTCCAACACAAATGGAATGATCTGTGAACAATAGGAAACATACAGATAAACTTTCCAACACAACATGGAATGATCTGTGAACAATCTTCTACAAATGTAATATTACAATGTGTTAATCTTCTACAAATATAATATTACAATGTGTCAATCTTCTACAAATATAATATTACAATGTGTCAATCTTCTACAAATATTAACATTACTATGTGTCAATCTTCTACAAATATGATATTACAATGTGTCAATCCTCTACAAATAAAACAATACAATATGCAGCCAATCTTCTACAAATGTAACATTACAATGTGTTAACTTCTACAAATATAATATTTCAATGTATCAATCCTCTACAAATATAACAATACAATATGCAGCCAATCTTCTACAAATGTAACATTACAATGTGTCAACTTTCTACAAATGTAACAATACAATATGCAGCCAATCTTCTACAAATGTAACATTACAATGTGTCAACTTTCTACAAATGTAACAATACAATGTGTCAATCTTCTACAAATATAACAATGCATAGTGCTCACAAACATAAACCAACACAAAACAATCTTTCAAACTGGACATAGAGAATCATATTCCCATGAAAATCAAATGAAATCAGACAGTTGTCCTCAGGGACTAACCTGTTTCAATTCCTGGAATCCGTGTTGTGTTGAACTGGCGCTCATACTGAGCAGAGCAAAGTGGAACAATCTTATTGATGAGAATCTGAGAAGGAACATACATTTATTAAAATAAGCATAGCAAGGAAGGATCTTCTTCCTCTTCTTCATGTTACCACAGTTCTTCTTTTTTCAGCGCTTACTCTTTTTAAAAAAAACACACACACACAAAATAAGGTGACTGGCAGGCTGAGCAGATGGATCACCAGTCTGGTGAGATTGATGCAGTTGGGAGCGATGAGAGGTTCTGGCAGATGCTCGAGGCTCAGAGGAAAGGCAAGACGGATGCTACTGGCACCATTAATATCGGAACTCTTCGCTGGCTGCTGAAGATGGAGACAGAGCGCTTATGGGAATGCACCGAGTGCTGTGATGTCGGTTCTTGAATCAAATCAAATCAATTAATCAGAACTTAACCCTTCTGGCATAGAAACCCTTTGGAGAAAAAAACACGGAACCTGAGAACAATCCCCCCCCCTTCCCTCCGCCCAAACTTAAAAAACATGGGTCCCTAAAAAACTCAAACTGAATGAAGAATTAAACGATTTATTTCTCTCTAGCCTTAAACAAACAAAAATGCATTCAATGACCCATACAGTGACCCAAATTACTAAAGGTAACAAAATTATGATGTCATCATGGTTAAATAAAAAAGGCATTATTTCAAAATATATCCCTCCCCCCTTTCCCGCCCCACACTATTTTTTAGTAAGTATACTCATATCTGACCATCCTAAACACTGCACATTTGCAAAAAGAGGTGATGCGATTATTTAGGCTTGTCAGGGACTGCTAAATGCAGCACTGCCGGTTTACGGTTTCTTAGTGAATGACTTTACTGTGCCAAATGCTTATCTCTTTAAGTCTCAAAATATTAAGCAGCTGATGCTCTAGGAAGTTCAAAGTGTGTGTGGGGTTTTTTTTTTGGGGGGGGGGGGAGGGGGGGGGGGACATAACTTTCCTGACACAACATCTAGTCTGCTACATCTTTAAATATCTAGCCACATTTTTTCTTTAGTACATTCAAATCTAACATAACATGTATAGTAACATACTTTTTGTTGTTTAATATACACAGACAGTGCCAAATTACAAAATGTGTTTTGTTTTTGACAGAAAGAGTTAATGAACTACTCTTCTCTAATTCACACCATTCTTCATCAATCAGCAGGCTCTTAACAGAACCTTGCTCTCATCACAGTGTGCCTCAAAGTCTTTCTTTCTTTAACCAATTCTTCATTCATTTACTGGCAAATTCATATCAGTATACAAACAAAAATAAGAAATTGCAGAAGATACTCTTCTTTATCTAATTCATATCATCACATTAACAAACTAGTTAGGAAATTCCCAACTGTGTACTACTAATTAGTAAACAACTTACGGGACTGAGTTCCTCCCTGTCTAATTCTCTCCTGTACATGAGCATGGCGTATATTAGGTTGGCAGCCCGAGCCACCTGGACTGTTGAATGAGATACCAGCAGGGCATCCTAGTCAAAGTGAGAGATACAAATTAACATATGTAGTGGTTTTTACAGACATCATAAGCAATGATTAGGTTTTTATAAAATGACATGATAAACAACGATTAGGTTTTTATAAACAGACTTGATAAGCAATGATTAGGTTTTTATAAAAAGATGCTTGAAAATCAACGGTTAGGTTTTAAAAAAAAAAGACATAATAATCAATGATTAAGTTTATATAAACAGACATGACAATCAATGATTAGTTTAGATAAGTTAACATCATCACAACAAAGGTTGGTAGTAATGGTACTCTTTCAAAAATAAAAATTAAAGCACCCATTTCTATGTCATGAAAGAAATTCAGCATATACTACATTTTCACACACCAATCAGCACTTGAATATGGCTGTGATCTGAATAACGCCAACTGCCTTGACTTCCAACGACATGTTCTGCCAACTATTTAAGAGTGGGCTCTTAGCTGGGAGCCCAGTTATAATTTGAAAACCTGCTTAGACTGGGATTTAAACCTATGACAGCCTGGCCAGCAGGCAAACACATTAGCCACTGTGCTGCAATGATCCTCTTTCTAAGATTTTACAGGAAGCTCTAATTAATCCATTTCCTTCAATGTTTTCATCTTACAGCTTCATCTTTCAACCATTCTTCCAGCATGGTTTTCAGCAGTTTATTAAGACTTTTGGAAGCTGCTGAACTCTTTCAGTCCCAAGCAACACATCATGCATGAATGGCTCTAACTCTATTTCACTGCAAAACCTAATGTACTCTGTTACTTTTTCCCCCCAATCTTTTGGTCACAACATTCTAAAAATGATCTGGTTACCACAAATGGACACTACTGATGTGGATATTACCACTTTTAATGTAATTATTATTTTAAAATGACTTCAAGTATCTCCCATGAAAGCTTCTGGTACTGAAAGAGTTAACTCTGTCACCGTGAGAGAGCCAGTTCTTCTGACTTTTACAGTTTTATTACATCTTTGGGTAGTGACCACTATGCCTAATAAACAGCTTTGGTACTAGTTGCAACTGCACAATGGGCTCTCCTTTTAACTACGGCCGGTAGACAACAGTAGACAGCCGGTTAGTCGGAGTTCTGTCCCCTGGCTGAAGTGCAATTACGGAATGGAGAAGGCACGAATCAGAAAACACAGTGAGGTCGACATGCCTGGCAGACCCCGCGCTGCGACTCACATTAGTGACCACGTTTACTTACCGCTTCTTGCGATGCATTACGGTGTGGAATAGAGGGAATGAAACAAGTGACATAATTACTGTGTGTTGGCAATAGACAGCGTGCAGTGCCCTACTGTCATCATACGGTTAGGGTTTGTGTTAGGGTTAGGGGTAGGGTTTGGGTTAGGTGTAGGGTTAGGGTTAGGGTTTGGGTTGCTACTATGAGTTTGTGCGAAGACAAGATGCGGCGACACTAACCGTAACCCTAACCCACACCCTAACCCTAAACCTAACCCACACCCTACCCCTAACCCTAAGCCTAACCCAAACCGTAACCGTATGATTATTGCAGGGCAGTGCACGCTGTCTATCGCCAACACACAGTAATTATGTCATTTGTTTTGTTTCGTTCCCTCCTTTCCACTCCGTAATTGCACTGCAGCAAGGGAACAGAACTCCAACTAACCGGCCGTCCACTGTTGTCTACCGGCCGTAGTTGAAAGGAGAGCCGCAAAATGAATACTATGTAGGTATGATTTTATTTTATATTATTGTGACATTAAAAAAAAAAACTTAAAGACTATCAACAGAACAAACATTTTCATGATCAAGGGGAAGAAAGCAGTTATTTCTTTGTTCTGTCTGCATTCTGTAATTACTTCCCTTCATGAGGAAAAATTGTGGATTTTTATAAAAACTTACCATGACTCAGAATTTCTTCTACTTCATCTTCATTTCCTCTTGTTTCTTAGGGTTCAGTTTCAGAAATTTATAAAAACATGATCATTTTTAATAAAATTTTGAAAAGATTTTTGAAAGATTTTTATGGGGCTAAAGCGTTTATATTACTAGCTTGCCTGACTGATGGCTTAGTGATTATATGTTTGTATCTTTCCTAAGAAGGAGATTCTTTAAACAATGACCTGACCTCCGAGGTTATCCCAACCTCAAAAGGGTTCAAGCAAAACAGCCTAAAACTTGCGTCCATAGATATTCTGTAAAGTAAAGGCACCTACTGAGTTCCAACTCATCTACACAAATATGAGGCTAGGACCTTACACCAATGATTCTTAAACAGTGGAAACAAATTCTCATGTTGTTGTTCCATACAGCAGTACTGATTTGACATAAGAGTTATATATTCTATGCTTAGTAACAGGTTTCCTTTACGTTCTAGTTGTTAGTCCCCTTCTGGACTTTAGTCTTATTTCCGAATGTGAGTTTTGCATACACATCTGTTTTACAGATCTGGTTTATTGGATGCAGAATGTGGGTTCCTCAGGTAGACACCTACTTCAAAGTAAACACACCTTATTAAAACCCCTTTTGCAGTATGCTTGTTAGGAGAAGGGGCAGTGGGACTACACTTTTACCCCCAGAAACTGGAGCCTAGCCACACAGGGATAAATTATTTTGACTTCCATGTGCTATAATGGCTCTTCTTGCCTTTTGTATTATTAAATTCTCTATCTGTATCTCCATCCTTGTCAACAGTACAAAAAATAGGTTTATAAATCCTAGTGGAGTTTCAACCAGGCATTTAGGTTACTACAGCCTGATTTTTTCTTATCATTTTTGTCTGAGATTAGAGCTGATGGCGACAATGATCCTGAAATCTCATGTTCTAACTAACTGCGGAGGACATTCCCTAACCTAAGAATCTTACTAGTCACACTTGCCATCACCAAGGTCTGTGATTCCCACATCTTCCTATAGCACAAGATAACATTATCTTCTGGAAAGATGTAGAGGTGCCAACAACATTCTGAGATTTAGATTACTGTTTTTGTGGTTTATTATTATTGTCTTTAAAGGATATTATAGTATCGTTTGTCTGGTTTATTCTGGGGGTGGGGTTCTCTTTTTTCTCCCCAAATGAGGTACCAGAACTCAATGGGCGAAAGTATGCTGAAGAGCTGCAATCAAAATATACTGACCACTCCATAGTAGTTGCTGTTGACCATAATTGGTGACCGGCCTCTGAGATACACATACTGCTCCCACCAATCGGACACCTGTTGGTTTAGGACACAAGAAAGTGATACAAAATATTAAATTTACAAATGCATTTCCGTACACCAGTGGGATTCTTCTTCTTTTTCTCGTCTGCATTTGGTTTTTTTAATGCTAAAGTCAGACTGCCAGGAGAGCTGCCTCAATGGATCTGTATGTCTGTTGCAGGTCCTTCATGATTCCCAACAGCTTACTCAGCACACTTTGCTTTTGAGACCTTGTTTCTCTTCTTAGGTGTAGGTATAGTGGGCAGGCCTGCAGAATGTGCTCAGGTTTTTGTGGGGCTGTCTGACAGGGGTCAGTAAAGTTTTTATTTTATGCATGTGGTAGTTGAGCCTGCAGTGTCCTGTTCTTAGACAGAAAATTTTTATAAACTGTTTTCTGATGTGGTCTTGCAGATTCACTCACCACAATTATATGTATTTCCATTTGATAACTAATTTGATTTCTGGTAATAATAATGAATGGGTGTTGTGTTTCTTTTGTGTTCAATTCTTTGCAAGTCTGTTTAAACCATTTGGTTTTGGATAAAGAAAGTGATGACCAAATTGGTAAAGCATAAATGGATATCTGAACTCCTGTTGGTTTAAGATACAAGAAAAGATAACTAAGTGGATATATGTACACTTTTTGGTTTAAGAAACAAGAAAGTGATGATCAAATTTTTCAATGTATAAATGGGTATCTGTACATCTGTTGGTTACAGACACAAGAAAGTGGTGATCAAATGTTTCAATGTACAAATGGATGTATGTACACCTGTTGATTTAAGATACAAGAAAGTGGTGACCAATTAATGTTTGAATGTATAAATTGACACCTGTCCACACACAAACTAATAATGCTAGTGGAAATCACATGAGTTAAGGACCTGCATTCCAATAGGATATGAAAGGAAGAACATTAAAAAGATAAGTGCGTTTTAAATAACTACAAAGAAATATAGAAGACACAGAGTTAGACAACTGCCTGCAAGCCCAAATATCTTCAGTTCAAATTTGCATGCAGGCTTATCTTTAAATAATGACCATAGTTCCCATGATAACAAATGACTCCGAGATTGAAGGATAACTCTCAGGTTGATGGATAACTCTCAGGTTGATGGATAACTCTCAGGTTGATGGATAACTCTCAGGTTGATGGATAACTTTCAGGTTGAAGGTTAACTCTCAGGTTGATGGATAACTTTCAGGTTGAAGGTTAACTCTCAGGTTGATGGATAACTTTCAGGTTGAAGGATAACTCTCAGGTTGATGGATAACTCTCAGGTTGATGGATAGCTCTCAGGTTGATGGATAACTCTCAGGTTGATTAATAACTCTCAGGTTGATGGATAACTTTTGGGTTGATGGGAAAACCCCCAGGTTGATGGATAACACTTAAGTCGTTTAATTCCTAGGTTGATGGAGAACTTCCCAGATTGATAGATACAATTGCCAGGTTGACAGATAACTCCCAGGTTGTGGGATATAATTATCAGGTTGACGGATAACTTCCGGGTTGACAGATAATTTCCAGGTTGATGGATAACTCTCAGGTTGATGGATATAATTCCCCGATTAACAGATAACTGCAAGGTTAATGAATCCAGCCTAACTGGGTAGGAGGAAATATCCCAGGAAAGTAAAGGTCACCAGTGTGATGATGACTACAGCATCCATCAAGCGCCAACTGATCTCTAAAAAATATAGATCTGGGAACATATTCACCAATGTGGGAACCATGTCCTCTATTTTTTGTTTTAAATAAAAACAAATTCTTCTTCTTCTTTGCGATCACCGGCTGCAAACTCCAGCGGAAAGTTCTGGTTTTTGTCCCCTTCTGGACATTAGTCTTGCTTCATAAATTGAGTTTTGCGTGTACATTCCTTCTACAGATCTGGCTTATTTGTATGTAGAATTTAACCTTCTTTTCTCTCAGGCAGATGCACTCCGACTAGAAGGAAACTAATTCTGGATTCCTATATAAAGAACTCAATCTGCTGATATACTGTCCATATCTATCATGTAAATATAACATAACAAACAGTCTCCAAAAACAATTCTCCTTACATAATTAGTGGCCCACCATGATTTCAGGATGAGATAGCGCTGCAACTTATTTCCAATCCCTGACTGGAAGTCTTCAGCAAGTTTTTCCATTTCCTTGTAGTTTTCTTCGGACATCAGATGTTTTACTGAGTGCAAATACTGTAAGGTGTATTACATAAAATAGTTATTAATACAGATGCAGTAGGAAACATCTCAAAAATAGTTATTTAATACTGCTGCATTAGGGAAATGTTATAAAATATTTAATACAGTTGCACTAGGAAATATGTTATAAAAAAATTAATAAACACAGATGCAATAAGGAACATAAAGAAGAACTTGGTCAAGAAGAAGAAAAAGAAGTATTTTCCTGCTTTCCTCATCCACATGGCTAAGCATCTAAACCTTTACTAGCCCCTTTTGATTACAGGAGTAAGCGAGTACCTTGTTGGAGAAAAGAACTAGAGAAAGAAATAGTGTACGGGGAGGGGGGGGGGGGGGGGGGGGGGGGGGACGGGGGGGGGGTGGGGTGACATGGAGTCAGCTGCATGAGACTGCAAAGGATGAAACAGCCAGGTATGAGGTTATGTTCCAACGAAACATTAACCGCAGACTCTTCTTCTTATAGTCTATGCCGTGTGGTGATGGTAGGCATGACTATCCCCAACCTTCTGTCTCACATACTTTAAATCAGTAAAAATAATCTTACACAGATGATCTTCCATGCCATGATGTCAAACTGTGCAACATTTTCTCTTTCAGCCTCCCACTGCCTTGTTTACCCTCAAACTTTCCCACCATCACAATGTGCTCCAGTTTTCTCCTTCTCATGACATGACAAACAATGTAAATTGTCTCCATCTGATGTGGGCAATCAGTACTTTTCCGTGAATTAGTTTCCTTCAATACATTTTAATTACACTTTTTATGTGTCCAGTATTTTTTCATTCATCTACAAAACCACATCTCCACTGTTCAGAATACAGGCAGAATAAGAATACCTAATAGCAGGCTACAAAATCATGTAGCAGGTTCTCTATATAATGTTGCTCTCATCCCAGCCCACCCGAGTTTAACTTGGTCTCTCGTCAGCTCTCCAGCCTCATGCACTTTCCCTCCCAAGGTGTCTCATATGTTGTGCTCATCTTCGAGCTGGTCAGCCCCCACCACTCTTTCCCAGTACCATGTCATCTGCTACTGTTCTTTCCATCCTACCAAGAAGATTGATTTAGGCAAAATATTTCAATTTAGTGGTTGGTAAAAGTTAGAAAAAAAAAAACCATAGTTTTCAAGCTGCCAAACAACACAAGACTATCCCAGATCCTTACATTGTCCACTGATTCTTTAATGCTGGGTACTGGAAGCTTGGGCAGGGAGGCCTGGTAACTCATAAGTAAAGGTTTTCTGCCTCCATACAATCGAATCAGCATCTGTGGTTCAGAATAAGAAGACAGTTCAATTATTCAAATAAAAGCTAAATCAGATTATGGAGTGGCTAGCCGTGTTGTTAAGAACCCTAGGCCCTTATGCAGGAGACCCAGGTTTAAATCCTCTGCATGGTGTGTGAGTGTGTGTGTGTGTGTGTGTGTGTGTGTGTATGTGTGTGTGTGCGTGCGTGCGTGCGTAGGGCAAAAATAAAATCTGAATCTGCTAAAGCGTCAACAATTCTAGGACACAACAAGATCACTGGCTAAAACTCCTGACAGAGGTCATTCTGCCTGTCCCAGCTTACATACTTGCCAGGTTGTCAGAATATGATTTAAGCTCTGCCCACTGCACCCTGGTAGATACACAGGCTGCCTATTTGTAAGCAAATTCACAATGTCCAGTCTTTAATTACAGCAGCTACAGCTCAACCATAAAATAACACACTGGACGAACTCTTTACCATCAAAGTCAGTGTTATTCACATTACATAATAGAGATGATAATAAAATAAATGCACATCACTCTACAAAGTCACTTGTCCCTCACTCCATGCGGAGATACAGGACACTGAAAATACAAACAGTACACTCCTGCAGCACTTGCTCAGGTGGCTGCTACTGGCGAGTTTACCAAATCGTGCAGGTTCACCTATCCTGATGACAACCGCCTCTGATGTTTCCAGCTAAAGAAACTCTATCACCAAAGAAACTCCTGGCAGACGCACAAACTTTTGTGGAGAATCCAGACTTCCATCTGCTACCTGGTTACAACAACTCTGGGTATCAACCTGATACCTCATAACATCAACGCTGGCAGTCCCTGCAGTAATCTCCATGGGCCATGCAGACACTCGTCTACAGTTCAACCAGTGTGATACATATATGCATACAGCACTCATACTAAGTAGAGAGCAAGAATGAAGACAACAGGAACACCATAATTATGCAAGGTTTAAAACTATCCAACAAAACTGTAATGTACTAACAAATGTCATCTATGCTAGTGCAGTCAGTCTGGTTTACTATGGACACATACATTACTATAATTAAGTGGTCATCAATCAATAACCACTGACACTGACAGTTCCAAATGGCAGCATCATTTCAAAAGGTGCACCCAGTCTTGAGACACCAATTCAACTAAACAGTCCATGCACTCCAAAGGAATTAAAAAATATTGTGCTGCATGGGGACTATAACACTTCTCAAATGTCCAGCCCATTTCACTAACTGAGAGCAAATGAATCAAAGTGCCACTGGATTTCCCCACCAGCTTCATGTGGATCTCACATTCTGTAAACAACCTTTGTGATGGCCACCATTTTCAAAAGATTCACAGAGAAGAACTTGCCCCCACAAACTTCACGTCACCCAAGTATTTATACTCACCTTGGTCGACCACAGAGCGAATATTGATGTGTGCGCTCAAACATTTTTACCTCTGGCATATGTGTTACTAATGCACATTAGCATAACACTTGCACATCAGGCTCTAAATGTTATTTGTCCTTCTCCTTCAATTCCACACCATGTGGCATTTGTAGTCATGTCTGTCCACAACCTTCCGTCTCATATACTTTCAATAAACTCTGACGCCATGATGTCAAACTGTCCAACAACTTTTCTCTCCAACTCCCTCTGCCTCTCCTTCCCTCCAATTTTCCAACTGTCATGATGTACTCCATTTTTCTCCTTCTCATCACATGACCAAAGAATGTAGACTGTATCCTTCTGATGTGGGCAATCAGTTCTCTTCATGATCTGTTTCTTTCAAGACATCTTCATTACGCTTTTGATCTCTTCAGGGTATTTCTCATCATTCATCTGTAAAACCACATCTCCGCACCTTGCAAATAATTTTTCATTAATCTATGCATGATTCACTTTCATATGTTAGGAAAGATTTTTCTCAATTATAAAGAAAGATTGTCAGGAACATATTAACCCATTTCCTCATTTTGTAAAATGCTTTCGTTGCTTGAGATATTTTACATTTAATTCTTTAATACATCTTCCACCTTATGTTATAAGGGTATCCAAGTCCTAAAACATATCAACCTGCTTCAGGTTTGTCCCATTTACTTTGATGTTGCATTTCAGAGTGTCAGTTTTCTTTGTAATTATCATTACTTCTGTTTTTTTTTCTGCTTTACAAACCCTCTGTTCTACACCGCCCTAAATAAAGTGGTAATTACAGGTAGTAAAGACAGAAATACATCATGGATGGGGTAATTTCAGTTACATAAAAGGGTGAAAATTAACTCTCTGTTCCTGACAATCCTCATATTAACCCACTTTATTGTTACTAACTGTTATGCTGTTCTACCTAAACAGTTGTTACTTGAACTTCTACTGACCAGTGAATACGGAGAAAAAGCGAAAGCAGTAAAATTAGGAGACGGGAAGGAAAAGATATTTAAAAATCACTTACAAACCAAAGCTTGGTCTTCAACGTCATTTTACCATGTACTTCATATATCCAATTGTGGTAGGTGAGCAGAAGCTTCAGGAAGTACTTTAGCACCAGGCACTTGACGATCCATGCTAGGGTGGCAAACAGAATTGTGCTGCAGTACAGCCCAACTGGATGGGATGCATTTTTGATTCTGGGGAATGGGTCAAAGTTGAAAGTCAAACATAACTAATATAAATGAGTCATCACTACACAAACCAATACATAAATGGGTACCAGGAAATGCCCAGGGAAGTAAAGGACAGGCATGATGTTGAGGATATCACCCAGTGAGTGCCGATTGGTCTAGAACAAAATGCCTGATGTGCTAATGGGATGAAAAGTGTACTTTATGTATATAAGATAAGAATGGTAAAATCCAGATTATTATTAGTCTATTCTGGAAAAAGCCACTGTATTTTAGCAGCTAGACGCTCACTTGCAGTCCAAAGGTCATTGGTTAAATTCTAATGGTGCTTTTTTTTAAATGACCTTGGCTCCCAGGTTAACCCAGCCTTAAATGGGTGCTAGATGAAAGTCCTGGGAAGTCAAGGTGGCTGGCCTGATGCTGACCACATCACACAACGAGTGCCAATTGGTCCACAAAATAGAGGTCTAGCCCTCTATGCCCAATATTTCTGAAGGCGTGGAAAAGGATCTTTTACTTTTACTATTCTGGACACATAAATAAATGTCTTGATCTCCTCCGTAGTAAATCCATTTTACCCAGCTGCTGAAGAAGAGGACAGAGCACATGTAAGAATGTCCCTGTGTTGTGATCTCAGTTCTCAACTCCAGTCAACTCAACAGCAACTACTGGTGACCCACCCACTGTTGAATGACAAGCCTTTTAACAAACTCGGTTTGCTGATCATCTGCCTACCTGACCTTGAAGCTGAATACCTGCATTATTTTATCAATGATGATTCATTCAGTTTAAATGTATTATTTAGTCAAGGGAGTACATGATGCAGACTTGACCCACTGGTTGATTGATTCTCTAAAATAGTTGCAGTAACTGCCGGCTCAAACTGCACTGGCATACAATTTATATAAAGAAAAAAATTAACGTAGAAATAATCAATAATAATGTGAAGACAGAATGTGGAACAATGATATCACAAATATGATATGCATCACATACGTCCTGTCTTGCATTCATAGACAGGCAACAAATGAATTCTTCTTCTTTCATTCACTTGAAATAAATTATCTATATCTGCGATGTTGTCTCTAGTATGAACTTCACTTTCTTAATTAATTCATTCAGTGACCCGTAAAGTTTGACTTGCAACGATGTTTCTCTTGGCCATAAATGTTGCCTTGATATGTTGTATTTGGGACACTCTTGGAGGAGATGGCGGACATAACAAATGAATCATATTTCCATGGCGTGTGTGCGTGGCATCCTGATTGCTGTGGTGCGCCTCCTGGCTGGTTGCCTCCGACTTCAGCACCTTGTTTTGCAAGGGTAGACTGTGGTCATACCCGAGGAGAGTAGGCTCATCCCTTCGTCTTTCCCCTTTACCTCTTTTGTTGTCCCATCCAGCTTTCCCTGGGGGTTGAAACCCCAACCTTCAACTGGATTGCTGGGAAGAACAGGGTCCACCATGTAAAGGTGAGGTAGGCTTGAGCAAGAGAGGCTAATAGACATTAGGAGTTGTATTGCGCATCATTGCTCCATTTGGAAGAAGAAGAAGACAAATGAATCAGTCTGGATACCTTGTAAGAATGCAGCTTGACCAAGACAAGAACATAAAGGACAAACAAAACAAACAAGTAGGAACTGTAGGAAGACACAGACATGATGAATAAACAATGTAAAGAATGCAAGTTTAGTTTGTAGAGCAACAATTTTATTGCCCAACAAGTGCTCCAGTCAACTCTTAGAGGTCAAACTAAGAGAATCAATTCTACAAAGGGCATGAGATGAGATGGTTGAGGGGATGAAAGACAGAAGAATAGGAAGGAAAGAACAAGAAGAATAAAAACACCCTAGGAATCATCTCATTCAGTAATGTATACCATTATAATGAAAGATCTTCATGTCCCTCTTCATCTTCCTTTCTCTACTCCTTGAATGCCTCGCGGCGTCAGGGCAGAAACAGATCTCTAGAATGGACCCTCTGTTCACTTCATATAAAAGTACTTTTCAGTGTCTCTGATATTTCTGCGGCCCATTTTCTGTGCAGTTGACCTCTAGCTTTGTTACCACTGTATCTCTGTAACACTGCTCTCTGTGGTGCCCTATCTGACGCCAATCTTGTTACATGCCCAAATCATTTGATTTGATTTGTCATGTCCAAAATATTAATATTGCACATCAGACAACTGAACAATTTGTACATTACACAGTGGTAGCCACACCACTGTTTCTCCTTACCCAGGCGTATGTTTGTGGATCAGGTCAATAAATCCATAGGAAGGATCAAACAGACCAGTAAGCCTAATCCCCAAAATAAGAGTGGCCACAAACAGCCAAGAGGAGAGGGATGCTGGAAAGACGCCATTCCGAATTTGATTCTGTGAACAAATCAACATATTAACTCTATCAGCACAAACTGAATTTACCATTCACACTTTACATATACTTTTCATTCTTCATTCCTTAGCGCCCTCACCCATTTTTTAAGAGACAAATTAGGAGACCTAGACCTTGTTTAAGTGTGTAATAATATTCTGAATGGAAATAAGCATAAGAATATATCTGAAATAATAAGAAATGTCAAAACAAAACAAAAATTTTTATTTCAAAGCTTGCTCCTTTCCCACCCCACAAACTTTTTTGGGGTACCACAAGATGCCGTAACCCTGTTGTGTCAAGAAAAGCTTTGGGAAAAAAAAAAAAAGGTTGTGACAACAGAAGGAAGCACAGACACAATGGATTTATTAACAAAACAAAGTTAAAACAGGAAAAAAAAATGTCAAAAATACAATCAAGTAAATGAAGTAATAATAAATATGGAAGATGAAAAAGACAGTAAAGAAAAAATCAATAGATAGGTCAATCATTTCATGAAGTCCCAAGTCAGGTCTGCATATCCCTTTCAGAACGTGCCAAACCGACACAACTTTTACTGTCTGTAGCATGGCTCCTATAGACAGATGAAAGTTGTATACTGGTTAGAGAAATTAGATATTGTTTGTTTGTTTGTTTGTTTGAGTATCCAGAAGCCATGAGTTGTTAACCCTTAGGCTCGGTTTTATGGATATCGCAACTTTTCGGCCTTGATTCCATTGTAAATACCGTAAATCTGGGAGAAATGTGGCTTTCCTGCCTACCCCCGGGATTGAACCCGGACCACAAAATGTTCGTCACCCGGTCTCCGCGCAATCCGGTTTAGCCAACTACGCTAGAGAGCCGGGCAGAAATTAGATATAGACAATCTGTGTTTTTTCAGCAGGTTATGATAAGAAAATTAAGTGGCAATGCTCTGTCTCTGAAGGCTCAGGTGGCTTGGTAACACCTGGAAAATAGAGGATGGTAAGAGTCCTCAAGGACATGTTCTATGGTGAATTACAGACGGGTAGGAGATGTTGAGGCTGGTCTCTACTACAATATAAAGATATATGCAAGCAGGACATGCAAAATATAGGTATTGAGGTAGCTTCATGAGAATAAAATGCCATAGACCATGTTGAGTGCAGAGGAAAAATCAAAAAGGGAGTAGGAATAAAGGAAAAACTCATTGCCATTGCTCTATGAATAGTATGATGATCACAGCATTGTCAAAATCAACAGAAAGCAAGTGCAACCAAATCACCAAGCAACTGACTAAAGTGTTGTTAAGATTGGAGCTACAAACTGACAGCATGTAGGGAATTCCTACGAGTGCTCCGTCCTCATCTTGAGCAGCCAGCAAAGAGTTCCAATTCCAATGGTGCCAGTTTAATTATATGATGTATCTATTGTCTTTCCTCTGAGTGTAGTGTCTAGCAGATCCGCTGGTTCTCCTAATTGTACTATTTTCCCCAGACCATAATGATCTATTTCTGCCTCTGCACTGTTCACTGGCTCTTAAAGGGCACTCGTCACAGCTAGCTTGTCAAGCATAAATTTACCACCCACTGGTGCAATGTCAGGACTCTGAAACCCCTAGGACAAAGACTTTCATGAAGTAAATTGAATTTCTAAACAATTAAAGGAAAGACAATAACATTCAGTATCACCTTTAGTCGACCAATCCTCTTCTTCCAGGAAAGAACGCCACTCTCCCAGACAGCTCGGAGAGCCTCATGATTGATGTTGACATCATACCCATCAGGGGTCACAGTGAAGGAAAAGGCAACAGCAGAGTGGGCTTCAGCCATGCTCCTTGAGGAATCTTAGTTTTGTAATCAATGCAACGGACAGTCCAAAGCAATTATAAATTTTGCTTCAACTAGCAGACCCAAACACTTATGTATTCAGATGCAGGTAATGATTCAAATCTTCACAGCCAAGAATAGATAAAAGTTCAGTTGCAACTGGTAATCCAGTACATAAATTCTGCCACAATTTAGAGCCCAAAACAGCATACAGATGACAAACCGGGCAGTGCGATCAGTGTGGCCACAGGACCATTATCTCATGGTCATCCACTGGGCTTCTGTCTAAAAAAAAAAAAAATATCAGTTGTGTACCAATGTATACAGTATTCATGTAATCAAAACTGAAGAAATAATAAAGACCCTTAACCATGCTTTTATTAGCTTCTTCAAGCGATCCTTGTTAGTTACTCTGGCAGACCAAGGGATTCTCAACATTCTTATGAAAAAACCACGTCTCTGTCACCTCTGAGTTCTTTCTAATTAGTAAATTCACATTCTATGATTCACTACCATACAGCAGTAAAGTTTCTACATAACATTTTAGTACTCTCTTTCAGACATCTAAAAAGAGGGACCTGCTCAAAAGATGTAATTCATTTTTTTTCTTTTCTTTTCATAACATTCAGAGGAAATTATGCAAAACAAAAACTAACAAGAGATAAGTAGGTTTTAAAATCACTCAATATACCCCACACACATGCAAAACTTAGTTGTGTATCCTTTAAACAACATTGCAGACAAACCACAAAATCTCTTGGTTGTTTACAAATCAATTTTCATGTTCAGTAGTTTTTCCACTGCCCCTGATTGGTCGGCTCTAGATACCACTGTCAAAAACAATGCAAAATGGCCTGCTGCCAAATCGTCCTCAGCTGGCAACAAAGGGGTATCTCAGAATTACTAACAGCATTCACAACCCTTAAGCCACAGATGCTGACCTATATAAAATTTAAAAAAGGACATTTTTCAACGCCTTCAGGCATACTGGGCATTTAGGACTAGATCTATATTTTATAGATCAATCGGCACTGAGTGGGTGATACAGTCAACATCATGCTGTCCACCTTCACTTTCCAGGACTATACCTGGTACCCATTTAAGGCTGGGTCGACCTGGGGTCCAAGGTCATGTTTGAAAAAATCCGGCTCCATCAGGAACCAAACCCATGACCTTCCAATCAGCAGGCAACCGTCACGCTACTAAACCACAGCGCTGACCTATTTACAAGCTATTATTCAAAATATTTGGATCAAAAGTCATACCTACAATATGATAACCCTGACCATCAAAAAATAACTGTATAATAAGAAATTAAATACTGATAAATTTTGATTATTTTTTAAACTACTCATTCAAAATCAGCAAAATAAAACTTACACCTGGTGTTTTTTAACCAGTACTTCAATTTACCCTATCCAAGATATTCCTGTATGACTATAAATGGGTCAGCAATCAAAACCTAAATATATTTTGATGACCCAGAAACTGGGGAGAAACAGCACTACAACAAAGAAAAACATTCTTAGTTTCTTTTTATTTAACAATTCTCTGAGAAAAATAGAAAATTGAACTTAAACACAGATACTGTTAAGTTAGAACTTAAATTCATTCTTTTAAGCTATTACTCTAAACCTCAAATATGGATTGAAAAGCATTACCTCCCAACACATTTTGATGACCCAAACAGGTTTTTTAAATTACACCATTAATAAATAAATTTTTTTTATTACTATTCAACAGACAATACTCAAAGGAAAAGAGCAGATAAAACACACACACAGGAAAAAACCTGACGTTTGCTCAATTCAACAGTTTCATTGACATGCACCACTGAGCTGGCAGTATATAGCTTTTTCAGTTGCTATTTTTGGCCACAGGTGTGTAGTTTGCTGTCATACAACACCACAACCACACATCTGCCTTTGATACAGCTGAACAAAGTTAAGTCCATTTGCGGTCGCACCTAACGATCCCTATCTTTTGTTTGTACTTTTTCACCTTAGCAGGCAGATTACATACACACAAACTGTCAAGGTCCATTTACCAACTTGAACTGTATCAAGGGGTTTGCAAACTTGTGTAGTCCTGCACTCATGTATGTAGTAAATAGCTGTAGTTGTGTGGTGGCTAATGCTCGCCTCTCAACCCAAAGGTTTTGAGTTTCTTCTTAAACGATCTCTGGTCATGCACTTAATCTACTGTGGCCCATAAACTGGGATGTCATTTCTAGTTCTATTAGGTTTCCCAAAATTTGTGAGATCTACTGGGCATGGCCAGGTGCTGATTTGCAGCTCCGCCAGGAGAGTGCAGTCTGGCAAGACTGTGGTGGAGTCCATTCAGCATAAAGGCACTGACAGAGAATTTTAACTTGGTCAGTTCTGTTCAGATGGTTGAGGAAGTCCATTCAGCATAAAGAGAATTTTAAAGATTTTAACTTGGTCAGTTCTGTTCAGATGATTGAGGAAGTCCATTCAGCATAAAGAGAATTTTAGAGAATTTTAACTTGGTCAGTTCTGTTCAGATGAATGAGGACATTTTTTTTTAAGGTCTTAACCAGTGTTTGTTTTCTAATCTGTTTCTGACTTTCTCTTAATAAGCATTTGTACTTCTGGGGAGAAAAAAATTGACTTGTAGATTTGCTGGTTTACTGCTGCCTTCTTTGGCTAAGGGTCAGTGAAAAAACCATCATCAGGTGGGTTTTTGCAACTTGTTTTATACTGTTCTGCAGCAAGTAAGGCTAGTCAGCTCTCCTCTAGTGTGCTGATAGTAATGCTAGCTTCTAGAGCCTGTATGGCTGACGGTGAATCTGTGAGAAAAACCATCTACTCCACATTCATCATTGCCTCTTTTTGCTGTTCCGTCTGTATAGATTCTGGTCTTGGGTTTGAATCCACATCGAATCCGATTTTTTTCAAAACTGACCTTGGCTACCAGCTCGACCCAGCCTAAAATGGTTATTAGGTAAATCGTGGGAAGTAAATGTAGCTGGCATGATGTTGAATACACCCTCCATCCAGCATCAACTGGTCTACAAAAGTATAATGTTAGCCTCCCAATCGTTTCGCTCTTTGCCTTTTGTTCACTTAACCTTCCACTTTTCCTCACGTTTGGGTTTTATAACACATGGTATCATATGCCTGATGTACAACTGGTGCAAAAACGATCTTTTGACTTCTGTATTCATTTAGTCAGAGTCAATTTAGTGCAGTGCCTAATACGATTGCCTTCTGGCTGAGCTGTCATGTGCTCAAACTCCCCTTTTAGGTGGGTTTTTTTTATTTTTTTATTATTCACTAGGGCTGTCAGGCTGATTGTGCTTGCAAGTAGGCAACAACCATAACGCCCAAACCATCTAGCTGAGTTGAGTTGCATTACGAACCAACATCACAGAACTCAGCAATTCCCAAAAGTGCTCCTTTCCCATCTTTAGCAGCCAGCACAGAATTTCAATGCCGACGACCCCAGTCAAAAGTATGATTGCATGTTGTCCATCTTGGTTTTCCTCTGAGTGTTGAGAGTTAACTATATACAATTATTATACCTCAATTAACTATTTGTGCTGCCACACTGTTTACTGACAGCCAAATGGACCTTGACCTTATCTAGCTGGTTAAGCACCAATTGACAACTGGGGAAAAAAGGGGGGGGGGGGGGGGCGCAAAACCAGCCAATCTTTCTTCACATTTCCCAACACTCCTAAATCCCCTGGAAAAATATCCAAAAGATACTAAGAACACAGGACACATAAACAGACCACTGCAACACAAGAAAACAACACCTGAATTATAAACTCAAGCTCCCTAAGTAGGTTCCAAGGCCCCATTCTGAGGCTTTGAACTACTTTATGATAAAGCTGACGTGGTAAAGGCTCTCTGGGATCAACTGGACAGTGCAACAAAACATAGTACAAATATCCCTGAAAGACTAATTAAGCGGAAAAGGGAGGGGGGAGTCAGGGATCTAGAATATATTCAACAATGACACTGAAACAGGCAGACTGTGAACCAGGTTGCAGCTGGTACTATTATCATACCAACCCTTCTTTGGCTACCAACAAAGGAGATGGAGCATGTGTAGGAATGCCCAGAGTGCAAAGATGTTAATTCTTCATTCATTTATCATTCATTATGAAAGGGGGTGGGAGAGGGGATGTATTTACCGCCCCTTAACAAGCATCTCGTAAAAGCGACTAATTAAGGGTTTGCCAAAATCAGATGTACTGAGCCAAAAGGAGCAGATAACTCAGCCTAGCTGTAAACCACAATGTGCCAACTATCATTCAAAGGGCAAAGAAAGAAGAAGATAACCATATGCAGGTTAACTCTTTCGGTACCACGCACTTTTAATTGCAGCTCTCTATTTTCTTAATGAGTTAACATAATTCATATGTGGGATAGAGTGAGTTAAAGTTAAAAATGGAACAGTTAGATATAGGGAGAAATTGCTACTGAGAAATTAATTAGTGATATATAAACAAACCAGTCAGAAATGAAGAAACTAATTAATAAATATTGCAAATCAGTGAGTTGTTTGCTGCTAAAAGAGTTAAACAATGTGGAAACTTTTTTCAACAACAAAGAACATAAATTCAGAGAAGGCAGTCATGTTTTAACAATCAAGTTAAATATATAACAATATGACCAAGGTGTGTACATAGTGAGGTTTTGTATATAGTGAGGATTTGACAACAAGCTGTAAAACAGATTACATGTTTTAAAGCTGTTTTTAAGTCTTTATGATAAAGCTTAAATGACATTATTACACTAATGGTGTACAACTGTGTACTCCAAAACAAAAAAACTAAGCTCTGGTCTTAGTCATCTTTCATAAAACAATGTAACAGGTATATAACATTTGCCTACGTTACTAAATCCAAAGTCCAAGGTACGAATTGCATTCTCAAAGTCACTGGCATATATATTACATCAGTGCAGTGATAGCCATTCTTTTCTCTCCATCAAGCACTTGTTTTATTTTTCTATGATAAGGATTTACACATA